GTCGAAAATCTCACGAGAAATTTCTTTCCCCGAGACTCGAACCAGCGCGCATTCCGTATTCACCGGTTCGAAGCATGATGCCTCAGACCATGCGGCTACGGCGCGGGACATTGTGTTGTGTAGTCTGGTAGAAATTTACCAGACTCCAAAGTGCGGTATCTCAGAAGACAGTTTTCTTCATACTGTGAGAAAGTTCAGTCAGCAGTACCATGACTGCTGATTAAGTTGATTACAATTACTTTTGCATGTACGTGTATTGGAAATTTCTGTCGTGATTTTCAGCATGTGATTTGAAACCCGTCTATGAGAAATGTCAGACTGACGGTCTGAGAGTGGAAGGCGCACATAACTGGACCCCTACGTTGTACATTCGCTTAGTGCAGGATGTCGGCTTGGAATGTGAGGTAGCTCAGCACCTAGCACAGTCGTACGGAGATCGAGCGTTCAATGTAGCAAAACTCGCATCACTCACAGGGAAGCGTTGGCCTATCATCGGCAAGAAAATACACCCTGAGTTTCCATATATCGATGCTGAGGTATGCTAATTTTTTTTATTATTTTTTTCCTACTGCCTGTACTTTAGCTTGAAGAAAATGTGTCATATACTTGACCTTCGTGTTAAAATGCACCGTAAATTTTAATGTCCGTATATGTGTATATATACACATACACACGGGAGAGCTAGAATTTGAATTGAAACTGAAATGAACTGTATGTGTTCTCAGATTCGATACGCTGTTAAGGAGTATGCGTGCACTGCTATTGATGTAATAGCTCGGAGGCTTCGCTTGGCATTCCTTAACGTTCAAGCAGCTCAGGAAGCACTTCCTACGATCGTTGACATTCTGGCCGAGGAGCTGAAGTGGAGTAATGATGTAAAGAAGGTGTGGTAAACTATTTATGTATTTTAACAAAATATTGGTCTTAAAATAATATACGTGAGATATTGCAAGACATAAATATTATAATCCTAATAATGGAGATTTGGAAAAGTTTTTTACAGTGGAGTACACAGTAGTCATACAGTTGTTCATATTTTATTGACTGTAGCGTTCATTTAATACGATGCAGACCGTCTATCCCCAAGTTAATCGTTGCGGTGACTTTGACGCACAAAAATTAGGGAATTTCTTGACCAAATGAACGTCTCTCAACAAAGGCACTCTAGAAACAACTTGGCCGCTTGGTTCCTGTTTACAAATACCTGTAATTTTTTTGGATTTGAAAAAGTCGTTTCCGCGAGTATCTCGCCACTTGTACTGTCTGTGTGCAGAAACATTTCGAAGAAGCAAGAGCTTTTCTACAAAACGAGATGGGTCAGGCGGTGAACAGGGTGTCTCGCGACAAGCTCCCGATCAATCTTTCCAAAGACGAGATCCAGTCATCCATCAAGAGATTCCAGATTATTGACAAGGATCGTAAAGGCTACGTCTCCATCACGGATATCAGGCGAAGCTTGCAGGTACGTTGTGCCGACTTAATTGTATTTTTTTTT